CTCTAATCAAGCTTTGACAACATGAATTTTCTCCCTACAGTGGAGAACAGCATCTCTGTAGTCTTCCCGTGTTGTCTGTCCTTCCTTGCAATGTCCATACACTTTTCCACCTAAGTTCCAGAAGATCCCTGTTCATCCAAGCTGGCACTCTGCTCTGCTTGCCTGACTTCCAACACTTTGGAATTGCCTGCTCCTGCACTCTTAAGAGAGGGCTCTTAAAAAGTGATCAGCATTCATGGACCCCAATATCATCAAAAGTAGATTCCCAGGGAACCTTACTGACCTTCAGCAGCCCAAAGTCTGCTCTCCCCATATCCAGGATTGAAGTTTTGCTGGCAGTTTTTCTCCTGTCTCCAATGATCTGAAACTCAACTACTTTGTGGTCACTGTGATCAAGACAACCACTGACTACCACTTTGACCACGAGTCCCTCTCTATTTATAAACAACAAATCTAGGATGGCACCTTTCCTAGTCGTCTCCCTTAGTACCTGCACCAAGAAATTATCTTCAATGTGCTTCAGAAATTTCCTGGACTTGTTTGTGTCCACTATATCATGTCCCAGTTGATGTCTGGGAAATTAAAATCACCCACAAGAACAAGGGCAGTTGATCTAGAGATATCCTTTAATTCCTCAGAGAATAATTCATTAGGGTCATGCTCCTAGCTGGGTGGTCAACAGTAGAGTCCCACAACGACATCCACTTTATTTGCTTTCCCCTTCATCCTTACCCAGAGGATCTCAACCCTATCATCACCAACTGTACGTACCATACAATCCAACCCCTCCCTTACATACAGCATCACCCCTGCTCCTCACCTGCCTTGCTATCCCTCCTGAAGAGCCTATAATCATCCATCAAGGCATAACAGTTGCAGGACTCATCCCACCAAGTTTTGCTTATGCCAATGATGTCATAGCCCTGGAACTGGGCCAAATCTTCTAGTTCCTCTTGCTTATTCCTCATTCTGTGCACATTAATATAAAGACATTTCAAATGTGCTCCAGTGTACTCAGCACATTGTGGAGCAGACTGAATGACTTCACTAGCACACCATCCCTCAAACATTGGCATGCCTCTCCCAGGCTTATCACTAGCAAGCCTGGCTTTATTGCTTTCCCCCTTCAAATCCAATTTAAAGCTCTTTCAATGAGCTCTACTAACTCCTGTGCAAAGATCCTTTTCTCCCTTTGCGACAAGTGTACTCTATCTGTTGCCAGCAGGCCTGGTGCCATGTAAACCAACCCATGACCAAAAAACCCCCAATTCTGTTGATGACACCAGTCTCAGAGCCAGGTATTGATCTGCTGGCTCTTCCTGTTTCTTCCCTCATCATTCTGTGCAATTGGAAGGATAGAGGAGAACAATACCAGTGCTCCTGATCCCTTAACCAGTTGTCCCAAGGCCCTGAAGCCTCTCTTGGTTGCCCTTGGACTTGTTGCAACTTCATTCTGCCTACGTGAAAAATCAATAATGGATAATAATCTGAGGGCTGTACCAAGACTAGGAAGTTTTCCTGTCACATCTTTAACCTGGGCCCCAGAGAGACAGCAGACTTCCATAAGAAGTGGGTCAAGTAGGCATATTGAGCCTTCTGTTCCCCTCAGGAGAGATTCTCCTATGACAATGACCTATCTTTTTTTCTTTATGGAAGCGGTTTTGATGCAGAGAGTTGACTGACTTAACCTTGGTGACACCTCCAACCTAGATGAACCATCGTCCTTGTTATTGTTCAGTTCCACTTGCAAAGCCTTGCAAGTATTATGCAAGGGCACTTGGGAGGGTGGAGCAGTCATGGAGTAGAAGTGCCTGCCACACTAGGCAGGAACTTGTCACCATTGCCTCCCATCCCTTAAGTCACCATGTTCAGTGAGGTGGAGAGAAGATAGGGAATCCTCCGTATCATGCATCGTGTCTGCCTGTTGGGTCTGTCCCAGGGAAGGTAGGGTGTGATTCCAGTAGTCTCTCTCTCTTTCAGACTCCCAATATAGTGCAATGCCTTACTATGTTGACTATGCTGGATTAGATAGCGAACATATTACAGTCCTGATAGCATAGTACTTTTTACAGAATAATATAACTCCTATCTACTTGATCAGGTAAGAGCCACAGTAATTTGGCTGTGTAATTTCTCCTTCTGTTACCTATGTCTGAGACAATTTTGATATCTGAAACTTTGCTTAATGTTTTCAGATGCTGATAGAAAAGTTATATGTTTCTATATGCTCTCAGAGGTGAATACCACAGAAGGAGATGGATTCAATGCAACAGTACAGTTACATCCAAGACTTTAATTTCTCTCTGCATTCCTTTCATCAAGTCTGATATTTTTTTAGCCCCTGGCCAACAGTACTGGGCAAGTAATGGGCTACTCACAATAGTATAACTCAAAACAAATAATGTGGAGAGAGCAAAATAGAGCAAGGCAGGAGTTTCTTCCTATTTTCTTTTGATGGGGAGCTGCTGTTGTTATAACAACAATAATTTTTCATATTTCTTTTTTCAGAAATTTCTCCTGTAAGTTTCTGTACTAAAAATGCTTGAATTGTATGATCTCTGAAAAAAAAGATACTGATTTAAAAATATTTTTTAATCAAATATGTGATAATATGTTTAATTACTATACAAATACATGAAGACTTTTTAACATACTGACTCTAAAATTTCTAATTAATTCTATTCACCTCAAAAGTTTTATGCAGTTTGTTCTTTTGGAACATTTCTCCCCTTCTCCATTCTGCCTTTAGCTTTGAGATTACAGAGTAGATTCGTTGGAAAATTAAATTAAAGTTATGAAGAAATTACTCAGCTTTGAGGAATACATTATAAAATCATGTCATCCACTCATGGACTACAGATGAACATATGCCTCTACAGATCAACCATAAAGGTAAAACCATAAAGCTAGAAGCAAATTCTATCTATCAGGTAGTCAGTAGTCTAGCAGCTGAATGACCACATTTATGAAATTCAGGAACATGACAGATTTTAACCTAGTTTCAGTTCTCTAAATTATGGTCATTTTATTGACCTAATAAAGTCTATTCATTTCAGCACAACTATTTGTGCAAGATACAGGTTAACACTCTAAATACATCCAAGCTTTTTTGTTTTTTTACCTATCAGTGCAGTTTTTTTGGATATTTTTTTATCTTCTTATCTCTTTTTCGTATCATGTTTTTATTTTGTTGCAGTGCAGCAAAATTTACACTTTCAAAATTTGTATGATCTATGTGGACATACAGATACGTTGGAGCCTCGCATACTGAATATTTAAAATCATTGAAATAATTTCTTGGATGTTTAAGAAAAATATGATCTTTATGGAATTGAGACTGACAAAGTTAGGAATAAATAGATTATAACTGACTGTTATAAAATAACATAATATTAACTGAAAACACTGAATTGTTTTCATAAAATCTTTCCAAGAATATTTTAAGCAGTGCCTTCTGGAATTTATAGAAAGAACATGAGAAATAAAGTGGAAGGACTAAGATGTCTATATTCAACCCTACTGTAATCATAGAATCATAGAATCATTTGGGCTGGAAGAGACCTTTAGAGGTAATCTTACCGTTTGCTTCTCTAGAAAATGCAGCAATGCTCTTTCAAGATGCTCTGCCTAAAGCTATATACATTTATTGAAATGCATGATTATAGAGAACTGATCAATAAATTAATAAATCAGTATTACATTTTGTTTTCTTTTGGAACAGTAAAGAAAGAAGACTTTTCAGTCATCCTCTTTATGTGGACTAGTTTGATGGGATTCCAGTACAGCTCTATGCAATCATCTAACAGATTTCTTCCTCTTTCTTTTTTAATTTTCCTTTATACTAAAAACTGCTTGCTGAATGTTGGGACTTTTAAAAGTTATTCAATCGCAAACGAAAAGCAAATTGAAATAGCTTTTTAAGAATAGAAAATTATTAGTCTTATACTTCCACACATTGCTGCACAACTTTTCTGAGGCCATTCGCTTTCAATAATTATGTATTTTCTTCCTCTTTTAACATTTTCCAAAGTCCAGGAAAGTAAGTACTAAAACTTCAATACCCATATACATAAAACATCTCAAAACACTGTTTGATCTAGTTCAGGCAGTGGTAGTAATTAAAATACCAATAATAGCCAAAAGAGATATGCAAGTTATTGTGTATTTTCTGAATATTTAGAGATTAGTATTATATCTACAGTTATACAATGAATAAGTGAATTTTAATTTTTAAAAAGAGACTCTCTATATTTTAAGCTTTTAAAAATTCTTCCTAAAGAGTCGTATGCACTAATTAATAATAGCTCATATTCTAAAATGCTATTGTTTATGAAGTTGACTAGCTGTCATGATCCAGGCCACAACTTTGTAGTTAAGATAGGAACTGAAAATACACTGCAAACAGAAGAAAGATTAACTCAAACAGCTGTTTAAGATTCTTGAAGCTGCCATTCATGAGTGAGTTAAGGGAGGAACTGAAAGCACAAGAGGATTTGTCCATACACTAAAAAAATGAAAGCAAAGAGAGTAAAGATGCTGTTTATCTTCAGGAAGTGCATCAACAGCACATGAGTCAACATTTAACTCTCTTCAGCCACAGAGAGGGTGAAAGTGGAGACAGCTCTCTATTCAGTGCTGATCACCACTGGGGACCCCCAGTGAAAATAGAAAAAATTCATTGAGCTTTCAAGAGGCTAATTTAGTGATCTTATTCTAACAGTTCTTAAGGACGAGGGTGATTCACCATTAACTATTTTATATTTATATTTATATTCCAAATCACTGTAAATTAATAATTTGAATGTGCCAAGTAAAAATAGACCTCAAATCACAAAAATGTTTCTGAATGCAATTCCAATATTTTAACCAAAAAAAACCAAAATGAAAAATACTTAAGTCATCAGGTAAAATTCCAAACACGAGTGACTTTTCAGAGAATGAGGAAATTATTCATCAATTAACATAGAACAGGCATTTGTGCCTCAGTATAAAGCACTCACCCACTACTGACATTTCAGGAACACTAGCAGTGTAAATTTCTTCTGGAAATGTTGGTTCATTGTCATTGATGTCATGGATTTTGATGACAAACTCAGATTCGGGTTCCACTGGTCGCAGAGTTCTTCTATTAATAGCTTGGGCACGCAGGGTGTAAAAGGCTTTTTCTTCCCTGTCAATTCTACGAGTAGCATGAATGTCACCTGTTTTCTCATCAATTATAAAAAGAGTACCAGCCCCATCTCCTGACAAAATGTACTTGAGGGATCCATCTCCTTTGTCCTGGTCAGAATGAAGCTGAAAAGGAAGAAAAAGAAGAGCATTTTATTTAGAAGCAATGAAAAGTTTGCTCTTTTGCTTTTTTAAAAAAAATAGTTATTATATATTAAATCATTCTGCATGCAACAAACATGTTTAACACCAATAAAACAAAGTCATTTTCAGTCATCATTGACTGGCAGTCATGGTGTCATAGTGAGGCATTTGCTTCATAACTTAACTTCAAGAATATTTTAACGTGACTGTTGTGGCAGATTTTAGTTTTGCAGCAACAGCTGTTCTCTGCTAAGAAACCTTTACACCACAATTCTTAAAGAAGATTTTTATGTTAATACTGACCTTTTCCTTCCTTGAAGAGATCCTATTAATAATTCACAACCTGCTGTGCTAGTTGTAAATTCACTAAGCAGATAAAGAACATGGCAGAATACATGACAATTAAGGAAAATAGAACAACTGGTTCCATGTCATACTAAGATTTTAAAAATTTTATTTCATATTATTTATATTTCTCCTAAATTGGAGAACATTTACTTTTAAGTTGTTATCATTTTCACTCCATAAACTAATGTAAATAGCCTAAAGGAAAGAAACAATTTTATTAATCATTCACTATTGGTTTGATACTCATTATGTAAGTAGTATAAAGTTTAACTTATCTATTAATGACCTGTAGTACTGACTGATTTTACATTCATAACAAAAAAATTATTCAATTATGTTTTTTTTGTTCAGTGCAGTAATGTGATTGGCTCATTTGATCTTTTGGATACACTTAGCATAATTTCTCTCATCACCTTGTTGGAAAGTTCCTTCCAAACTCATTGATTTCATAATTAACTGAAAGAATCTGGCATTCAGATTTATTTTCATCATGTATACTTTTTTTTTTTAAAATTTTGGGTTTAGCAGAAGGATCAAATCAAGTAGAAGCTTTGATTACAAAAATGAAGTAAAAATATAAAGATTTTTAAAAAATCACACTCGAAATATATCAGAATGTTCCAAAAAATTTAATATTGAATGAGTGCATTTTTTCCTTTCTAAAAATAGTTATTTTAACACACATTAACGACATCAGTTAGAACTGCAGTAAAATCATATTTAGTCACATGAAGGGTTTTTGTTAATTTAACCTCACATTTCAGATCATGAAAAACATTATACACGTTGCTTAATATAAGCATCCCCCTTGGCATGCAGTCATGGAAATATTTATCTTTTTTGTCTATGGTGCCCTTATGTTGTCTTCCATAGCATTCATTTTAAGTCAGTATCAGAGGTAGAATATTCAGATATTGGGGTTTTGAATGTGGTTTGCCTTGCCTTTTGTGCTGAAATCAAACATATACAGTGAACCAGTGGGATAAGCTGAAGTCAAACAGTAAATTTCTCTGCAGTTAAACATTTTTAAACACTGAAACTTTCCCACACATTTGCAATATGTGGAACACAAGGAGCTCATGTGGAATTTTGGATCAAAGCCTTTATGGTAGAAATTTAGAAAACTATCATTGTTCTGAACTTTGATTTTCTGTATAAATGTTTTCCTATTTTCTTTCAGTTCAGAGATAAACTTTGAGAAACGCTACAAATATTTATCAAAAAATGACAAATTAAACTTTGCTTACACTACATATTTGTAAGTTTACTTTACAAAATACGTATTTTCTTACTACTTTTTTTATTTCATTCTATAAGAAATAAATAAGAAGCTCCACCACACATGAAGAATAGGAAAGTACGTGTTAAGAGAAATATTTTGTAAATAAATCCTATTTTTTCTTTTTCTTCCCTTTCTCTTGCTGACTTCAAATTGAAGGTTTTGAACCATTCTTATTTGTATTTTGAGGAATGAATTTTCACTGTGAACTTTAGTCCCTCATGCTCCTCTCTTGATGGCCTATTAAAGTTGTGACCTTTAACCCTTCTAAGTAACATTCTTTTTAGGCGACTTGTCAGTATCTTGCAGGCTGTGGCTCATCTTATACTGTCATTTAGTGTAACTAGTCCTCAAAAGCCTTTTAAGTGTTTTATTCTCCAGGTCTTCCTAGGATACCACATTATCTTCAAAAATGTTTTGGTCCTGAGAGCTCACTGGTGGTCTGTGACCACTAGATAGAATACTTTCACAGCAGAATGATGAAGAACCATTATAGCAGGCTGCTCTTCCTTAGACATGTGCCCCAGAAATACAAAATAAAGGCCCATTTGAGCAAGAAAGATTGGGGGGAAAACTATTTAAGTGGGCACATTGCAGTTTTCCCATATGCTTTCCAAAGTCAGATCTGGTAATATAAATTCTTACAAAAGTTGATGATAGTACATTGAGAGTGCAATGCCTGTTCTTTAACTCAGAAATCTGTTAGCAAAGTCTGGCAAAATCCATTCTGATAAATTATCTCCAGAACTGCATAACCCCATGCAAACAGTACCCAGGAATAGTATCTGGCCAAATTTAACTCACAAATCTTGCATGCAAATTGTTTTGGAGAGTGATACTTAGCAAATGCACACCAGGAACTTATAAAATAATTTAGCAATCGCAGTAACTGCATTCTGGTGTCTGAGAATATTGCCTGGCACTAGAAGTACAAATACAGCGTAGTGGACAGAACTAAATCAGAAAATGAAGAAAGCCCCTGCACTACAAAATATGAAGCTTTTGAACAACTATATTTAGATCCAATTCAGGATGTAAAGATTTTTTAACATACTTATTTGTCTAATATGTAGGGTACTATCAATGTTGATGTTTTTCCGTTGCTTCTTCTGTAGTTATGTGTGTGTCAAAAATTCTTACTAAGTTGATTTGAAAGTGAAAAACATTCTTTCTGCACCACTCACAAAATTGTTAACCTCTTACCTCTGCCAAATTCAAACTTTATAGTTTTTTTTCCCCACTTATATTAGCCAAGAGACTGGAAAGAGAGCTGAGTATAAGATTTTGCAACACCCACATAAAGGCTTTTAGGGAGCTGATAGTCGCACTTCAAAGTAACATATTTATAAGGAATACCAATCTGCATCGTTTAGAAGAACACTTTAAGCTGTAATACTTTGCATTTTCTAAAAAATAGAAATAATTTCACTTTGGATCGGTAATCCAATTTAATTTTTATGTATACACATAACAGTCCACAGTTATTGTAGAAAAACTTCAAATTAATGAAATGACTTTTCAGAAGGTCTTCTTGGGTGATGAGGAAACACAAAGTTATAGATATAATGAACAAGACTTCCAGACATAATTGAAGGAGTTAAAATGTGTATTATATATAAGCAAGGAAAGAGAATACCTCTAATTTCATTTTATTGGGTCTTAATTCAATCCAGATGTTATTAGAGGAATCAAGATAGCTAAAGACTGCCCTATGTGCTTGACAGCCTTGAACACTGAATCTTTACCCAGCTCTGAAATGCATGAGCAGTTTGTCAATCAGTGTTGCAAAGTTTTGTCCTTTTACGCTAGTATTAAAAAAAGTTCTGCAAAGTATTTCTTTGCTACTTTTAGTATGAAGTGTTTCCTATAGTTATTTTGGCTAATGGGCATCTGTGATTCATGTCAGCCAAGCTAAGAAATAGAGAGACATCTGTTTCATTTAGCAATTTTATTGCACAAAATGATCAGCTGTGAAGATGTGGTTTTGTTTTCATATCTGTCACTGATATTTTGCAAACTCTTGTTTCTTGCTGTTTTTCCACAGAAATACTTCCTTTTTCAGCTGTCAGTGGTAAACGTGCTTTATATGTAATTTTTCTCACTGTATAGAAAATCAGAATATCTGTTGGTTTTAGTTTATATAGCCCTGTTTCATTATACAGTAATTTCAGTTACTGTGAAAAATAATTTTGCAGATTTGGTCATCTATCTAAATTGGTTGAACAAACTTTTAAATTGAGAAGGATTTCATATAAATGGAAAAGGAAAGTACTGCTAAACAGAAAGTAATTAATATTTAGAGAAAGTAACAAAATGGAGTGTTACGTGAATACTTAAAAAAGAAACTGAGTTACCAATCCAAGACACAGAAAAAACCAGATTTTAAAAGATGAGTTTCTTTTTTCTTCAATTACAACAAAAAGAGAGTTAATTAATATATATTACCTATTACCTTGTTCTTCAAGGTAAATACAGCTATAAATAAAATGAGTTAATGAGAAGATGCCACGATTAAATTCAGCTCAATATATTTTTAGATCTGTAAAAGATCTTTGTAAAGCATCTTTCAGAAGTCTTAGATGAACAGCATAATTCTGCTTTAAAAATTACTTGAAAATTACAATGTGGAAATTCTATGTTAATTGACTTTCAGTGATTCAAATCAAACCTGCCAATTACAGGAGTGTAGGTTTTCTCTCCCCACCAGCCCACCTCCCTGTGAATTCCAGCCAAGTCTGAAATGTCCTAATTGAATATAAAGGTCACAGACTTTTTTCTAACAGCATACAAAGTGTTAATCCTATTTTCACCAAAAAGCCAGAAGATGCTACTGTGAAAAGCAGAGAACAGATTAAGTTAGTCAGACCCATTTTATCATACAAACTACTTCTGGAGTTTGAAATGATTTCTGACAATGCCAGATAAAGACTTTAAGATTTGTCACACCTATTTCTATTTGAATTTCAGATTCAGAAGTCCCTCTATGAATTTTCAGTGATTGGTATTCAGATAACTAGAGACCAGAATATGACTGTATTAACAAACCAGGCTTTAGTTTGAATTTTTACTGTAGGCATTAATACAGTCCAAATTGGTTTTCTTTCTTAATTTAATATTCTATAATGTATAGGAGACTTTCCAGTACAGTTTACAGTTTTTTGTAGTCTTTATCAAACGACAGACTATTCCAATATTACCTCACTAAACACATTTTTACTCTCCTACTTTATAATAGTAATTTTTATTTGCATAATCTAGAAAATGTTTTTTCTACTTTCTTCTACAATGTATTTGTCAACATTTCAATTTGATCCAAGTATCACGGTAACAATGAGACCTCAGTACACTCCTGAAT